ATGCTATTATTACATGTGATTTCAAGTTAGGAAAGATGTATGACTTGTTTTATTTCTAAAACCACTATAGGGTTGAACTTTGTTAGTAAGCATTAGATAAAACTTTCAATGGGCTCTAACAAGAGAATAACAGGATAATTTCCCACTTTATGTAACAGAAAAATGTTTTGTTTCTTCAGTGGTGAGTGGACTTGAAAATACTTATTTTTGAGTCAGAACTACTCACTTCTGCCTATGAAACAATGGCTACTGGGTAACTTTATCTTTCATATTTTCAATGTCCTTGTATTTTGGTTATTCTGACTGTCAGAGAATTTTCTACCAGCAATTTTTTGGTTTTCATTTGTCTATTTTTATTCAGCTAATTTATTTCTTCGAATAGTGCCGCTCTAGAATAGTGCTGTTAAAAAGAAATATGTGAGCCACAAGTAACTTAAAATTTTCTAGTCACATTTAAAAAGGGGGAAAAACATGTACAACTAACATTAATACTTTAGCCCAACTTATCCAAAATAATTCAACATGTAATACAAAAAAATTTTTAAAAAATTGAAATCTAGTGTGTATTTTACACTTAAAGCACATCTCAATTCTTAGAGGGCATATTTCAAGTACTTGGTATTTCTGGCTAGTACTGAACAATGCCAAATCTAGAATACTTGAAATTATAAAACAATACACAAACTATTATGAGGTATTTGCAGTGAAATTCATCCATACACTTAAGGTTTTCATAAAATTAGAGACCCCTGATGATCATAAATAAATAATTTATAACATATAAGAGTGGGTGCAAAATAGAGTATTTTAAATTCTCAGCTAGCTTTATTTTACCACATGCTTCCTTTCTCATCATTAGAAACTTAAACCCAGCCCCAATAAACAGCAAGAAAAAATTAATTACAAAAAGCCCTGGTTGCAAGTTTATTTAGCATTAGATATTACATACAATGTAGTAGTTCTGTATTTTAAATATAAAATTCTGTGTAAAGAAAAATGCTGTCTTCCAAAGAATTTTTGTTAACTTTTTCAAGCTGGAAGACATAGCCAACTACAAAGCAGAGAGTGAATTAATGAAACATGAACAAAGGACATAAGTCTTCTTGCATGTCAGGTTAACACAACAGTAATAACAGATCAGGAGTAATTCAAAGGATCCACTAATGAACATGACTGCAATTAAATCCTCAAAGAATAGGAGCCAGTTTGAATTCTAACATCTGCTTTTTCTTAACATGTAGAAATATATATTGAACATTTTGTTCTAGCAATTTCCCAAACTCTGAAATTTGGAAAATATGAATCTCCAAAATCAACAAAATTGGCAATACTGAAAAATGGTCTTTGACAGGACATAATGGATTCTATTTCAATAACTCAACGTGGAAGTAAACAATATAGAAAAGGGTGTGATGTTTGTAGTTTTTTACATAAAAGAAGGTAATAAGGAGAGACTGAATTCTTAATGTTTCAAAGTCTTAACAAATTTGTGTATTTAACTATAAAAAGCCACAGAGACTGCAATATTTCTTTGCTTTTGGGTGAAATTTGACCCATTTAGTGTGGCAACATTAGCTTTTATGGGTTACTCAAAAGTTCCTATTAAACTTAAAAGTTTGACTAATACAAAATTGGAAAAAAGAGGACTTAAATACTTTATTTGTGATACAAAGTCATTCTAATAACAGCAAATGGTGGAGGGGAAGTAGAAATTAACAAGAAAGAGCTTAAGGGTAGGGGGAAGAGTGAACCTAGGTGGTAATTTAAAAAAACAGAACAGGCTGGGAATCACAGGATTAGATCTACTTTATGTTAGTGATTACTTGAGAGGATTTTGGTGTCAAAGTTCTATCTGCCGGCATCTTAAACTCTTGTGTGATTCAAAGGATGGAAATGACAGCTATCCTCATCCTGTCCCCTCTTGAAAGCTAAGGATATGGAAAAGTAGAGCTGCTTCTCTGAAAACAAAGATGCTTTCTACCATTCTTCTAAGATGGTGGAAGAGTCTCCTTAAGAGGCTTCCCCAACAAGGAAAAATGAAACAAGGAAAGAAGAATGCCGGAGTCGAATTCCCAGGCTCGGTTTTATGCTATTGCTCTGTCACATGCACCGTGCAACCACTCTGACCGAACCACCTCCCTCCCAGGAGGTTAAGCCCTCCCTGGGCATTGTTTGGTCGGGGTCCCTATTTCCCACTCAGCTTCCACCATCCCTGCACCAAGATCTCGGGAAACAACCGGGTAGAAAACGGAAAAGCCAGACGACTTGGTTTCGAGCAGCCACTTTAAACCCCCTCTTACTGACTGGTGCAGGAACGGGAGAGGAAGTCTGGCCTTTGCTGGGGAGGGCTCCGTGAAGGCAGAAGCGTCCCCTCCGCGGTAGCGAAGGGAGGTGGCCACTGGCGCCGGGCGCTGGGTATTGAAAAAGCCCTCTGGAGCGAGGGGCCTTCTCAGGTCCCGTTCTCCGGGCCCAGGCTGGGTGTCAGGTGCGGCCCTCAGTTCCCACCCTCGGGGCACCGGCGACGACAGCAGACAGGCCCCGCCTGACACCGGCCTCCCGCCCGATCGCTGGGATCAGGGACCCGGGCTGGGGCCCGAGCCGCAGCGTGCCCGCCCCCGCCCTACCTGAGGGGGCCCGGGCGGGGTCGCTAAGGGCCGCTCCCGGGAGCCCCGCGACGGCGCGGCTCGGCGACGGAGGCGCCTCGTCTCGCCGGGGCAGAGCTCGGCGGCGGTTTCACGACCTCAAACTCCATCGGGAGCTACAGGGACAGCCCCGTTGGCGGCGGCGGAGGCCGCGACGGGGCCTCCTCCTCCCTCCGCCTCCTCCTCCTCCTCCTCCTCCTCCACCTCCTCCTCAACACGGAGGCGGACCTGGAGGGATCCCGACCCAGCTCTCGCGAGAAGATACTCCCCACTTCACGCGAGATCACGCAAGACCGGGAGTTGGGGCTGTGGAAGAAAAGCGTAGTAACCTCCGCCACTTGGACTGCGCATCAGCTAGTCTCTGGTCGAGTCGGTCCACCCTCTGCACGTGACTTGTGAGCCCCGGAGCACTATGGGAGGTGCTGTTAGGAGGCTCAGACGAGTCGAAGGGGTTGATGGGAAACTCCGTGCACTTTCATCTGCGCTTTGAGGCCGCCTCCCAGACGCTGTTGTGCGTCCAAGCCTGACTCCTGTTAGAAACGGTGGTGTCCATTGAGTATGAGCTGATGCCGATGTGTTATATCTACTTCACTCTGCGTAGTAACATTCTGACCCAGTCTCCTAAATTCCCTCACATGGGTGCCAATCAATCTCCTATTAAAAAAAAAAAATGTTTCACAGGCACTGACTGATTAAAGAGAAAACAGCACTCTTCAGAAGCTGGCAAGTGTTATAATTCAAACACGAATTATAGATGTTAAAATCTCAAATATTATTGAGTTTTTCACAGTAAACTGTAAGGTAGAAATTAACCTTACTGTTTATAGATGAAGAACCGTACTGGAAATAGAGGTCAGGGTTAGTTATTATGTATCGAGTTACCAAGAGCTGCTAAGTGGGGAAAAAAATCATTTTTGCCCATCAAAATAATCCTAAAGATGAGATACCATGTATTTGGTACTCATGAAAAACGAAAAGCACAGGTTTAGAGAATGGATATAAACTGTAATCAAACTCAAGGTATTTTGCAGTGTGAACCCAGATGTCCAACAGAATCATCTACAGAAGTAAACCCACCAGGAATTAGAAGCTACATGGAAAACATTTGTAAACTATATTGACCTTTAAAAAATATGGTATGAAAGGGAATAGTTAAGTGTTTTGAAAAATATTCATCACATCTACCATGCATTTTTATCCTTTTATGCTTTTTCTTCATGAAATACATGCCAATCTAAGAGAAAGTTACCCAAGTGTTCAGAGAGGAATGTTTGTATTCCATTCAACCAGCTAGTGGTTAAGATACAAATATATCCCATTCCACTGAAGCTTGGTATGTAACCCCACTAAATTTTACCAATGCTGGTAGAAACTCTCCTGACCACTTGTGATTATACCAGCCTCTCTTTTAAGAAAGCTCTCCCTTTCAGGGGCAGCTCTTTCAGCCAGCTTATGTCCTTGTAATGATCCTTCTCTTCCTTCTTATAATAAACCCGCCCTTTTGGATAAAAAAAGTTTTACTAAAGCTGGTCTGATCACTATGTCTAAAATTACAATACCCCATTTCTTCGCATGTCCTATCCCTGCTTTATTTTTTCCAATTCCAGTACTAAATCTGACATGTCTATTGATTTGTTTAGTATTTATCTCCCTCCATTAGAATACAAATTTCATCTGCAAGGATTTTTGACTAAATACCTAATTTCTAGTATAGGCATGTATGTTGTTGGAACTCAACAAATACCTGTTGAATAATTACACAAATGAGGGAGCATGTTTTCTTTAAAATTCAAAAATGGAGACCAAACAGATTTCTCAATTCCCATTTCCAGTTTATTCATATGTAAACACAAAGCAACTTTACATACAAGGGGAAAATGGTAAGGATTTTCTTACATCAAAGTAACAACTATCTTTCCAAGATATTTTGTATATAAATGCAGTAAACGTAGAGGCTGAACTCAAATGTATTGCATTTTTCCTCTTCATATCTGAAACACAAACTCAAAGTGAACTTTATAAATGATTAAATGACACTTTTCCATACTTGTACTAAAAAAAAATTCCACTTTCTTGAAATTATTTAAACATATCATGCAAACAGACACCCTCCTAGGAATGTTTTGAGATCACTCTGTGTTACTGAACAGGAATAAATAATAATAAATAACAACCATCACTTTCACAAAACACCCCTTCCCCCCAAGCAAAAATCTCAAAGTGCTTACGAAAAATTTCACAAGAATTTGACAAGGCACACATAATACTTAAACATAGTTCAACCATAATTGTTTTCAAACATCAAAGATATATAGCAATTCCTAAAAAAAGTTTATTACAATTTGTTTACCCTCCCCTCCCATCCCCTCCCCACCCACTCTCGACAAACTTTCATCCTAGCAAGCAAAAATAAATACTTCAATCACAAACTATTTCTGAAAGGGGAATATTTGCATGCCTGCAAATGGCTAATCACAGGTCCAATGGAACAGAAAATTAAATGCTGGGTTAGCACTTTCTCCATTGGAATAAAAACACTATTTACTTTAGAAAAAATTTTTCTCTAAGGGAGCACTCAATAGCAACATTCATAAAGATACAAAATTCTCCTCTCTTGCTCTTCCCTCTCTGTTCTTAGGAACTTCAGGAAGATCTGACTATAAAATCATAGAATTAATGAATTTACAAATTGTCAAGATCAAAGTTTTGATTTTAAATATAAATTTATGAAAAGCTCAAGGAGAGATGACCTGCCCACTATCACTAACTGGGGTCATGAAGTCATTTTTCTTGTCAAATATGAGAGCTGATTCTTTAAAACATCTCCCAGAGTTAAAATTCTATGGAGACTATATTGTTCACAAAAGCATCACAAAAAGAATATTTAACATTTATAACAATCAATGTGTAATTCATCACAAAATTCTTATAAATGGTACAAAGTCTATTATATTTGAAAACTGGGAAATGCTGCAAGAGAAACAAACAGCAGGAATTCTACATAGAGGTGAGTAGAGGAAACACAGAGTATCTTGACAGTAAGATGCATCCAGGCTGGCTTCTTTTCTGCGTTCGGAGAATATGATTTGCCCTGCAATAAATAACAGTCTCTGTTACGACAACAACCAAAGTTCTGTTTTATATGTAGACAGAGACATCAGCAAGCCATGGCTCATAACACAATACAAAACAGTACTCCTGTTAATATAACCATCAATCATGGTTTTGCTTTTGGCACATTTTGGGAAATACAGCATGTAACTCCAGGGGTAGGCTAGGATTTTTGTTAACAGGTAGTAGATGAAAGTTGCATTAGTAGAGATGAAAAAAGTTCTTAATAATTGAGAAAAAGCTACTAAGTACCCATACTTTAAATTGTTCAAGAGACAAGAAAATCAATATAATATATATTGCCCATTCAAAATTAAAAAGGGAATGAACTGATACACACAATACTACTAAGTTCCAAAGGCATTATACTGGGAGAAAATAAGGTTCTCAAGAGGGAGCACACTATTTAACATTCTACTTAAGATAGTCCACAAGAGCCTAGACTATAGCAACAAAGAATTCTTGCCAGGGTTTAAGTTAGGGGGAGTTGACTACAAAGGGGGACTGTAGAGGAGTTTTAGTTTTAGAAGGTGATGGAATGTTCTCTATCTTGACTGTAGTGGTGGCTGCATAAATCTACATATGAATTAACATTCATAGAACTGTACATCCAAACAAGGCCAATTTTACTAGGTATTAACTAAAATGTAAAGTAATTTTTAAAAAGAAAACAGTATGACAAAAATCTTTGGTAAAATTGGTATTCATAAGAAGTCATTTTCAGAGCTTTATGCCAATGATATAATTTTATTGGCCACAAAGTTGTTAAATACAATTGTATTAAATAAAATCAAGAAATGTGGGTCCAATCAATCATTTACAAAATACATTTGCTAACAACACATGAAATTTTTAAGGAATATTGGCCTATGGATGAGAAAACTCCAGAGTGAAATTTGAACTGTGTTCCTCAGCAGTTCAAAACAACTGGTACCATGATGTTTGCTTTGGAATCCAACAGCAGTTAAAAACAATTTTTACTAGACTGTCTTTTCCGAAAGAGACTAATAACGGCCAACAATGTTTTAAATTTTATTTTCTCTTCTCATTATCCTGATTCACTAATTCTGATATGGTTAGATTTCACACTTCCATCAATCTAGACTCAAGTCAGATTCTGGAAACACTGCTTGATCCTCTTTCACTAGATTCAAGAGTATTTAGGAGAGGAACATTATTTCTCTAGGTATACCACTGGGACTTACATATGATGCAGGGAATGAGACAGAATCCCATCTATGTGTCCCCCAGCTTTGGAACTGGAAGTAGACGTTCAGAAAGAATAATTTGTAGGTATACCAAAAGTAAGACCCAAAGCTGGAGGATGTGGGGAAATGCAATATTACAAATGCTGCATTTCTATAGAAAGATTTGCCTAATAGGATGATAGAAGGCTTACACCACAAGGTGTGATTCTGATTATAATAGGTTTTGCCTCTTGAGATCATGCCGTGGTAGTTTTTCAGCACTACTTCTGCCATGGACAGAGGTTAAGTGCTTTTTGAGTGCAGACTTGTGCTTGAAATCCATGTCACAGCAGTGGCATTTGTAGGGTCGATCCCCGCTGTGTATGTTTAAGTGGTCCTGAAGTGTGCTTTTAGCAGTAAATGTCTTCAAGCACACAGAACACTGAAAAGGCCGGATTCCCATGTGCCCACGAATGTGCCGGTTGAGGTTTTTCTTCTGTGTAAATGTTTTTCCGCACTGTAAGCACAAGAACAATTTATGCATCTTCAGGTGGCGCAGGTAGTTTTCCACGTGCAGAAACCCTCGAGGACACCTGGGGCATTGGTGCCTGAGTGAATACGCATCCTCCAGATTCTGAAGTTCATCCACAGCTCCGTGACCTCCTTCAGTGTTTTCACAAAACAAACTCTGGTCTTGAGTCCCCGGAACTTCTGCCATTCTGCTCTCGACCGTGGAGTTGATCAGTGAATGCTGTGTTTCAGAAAAATACATGCTGGCTTTGGAAGAGGAACAAGGCTGTGAAAACTGTCCATTTTCTACACCAGCAGTACTGATAGACTCCACATGCAGGATACAAATTTCATTGTCTTTAAAACCTATATCTACAGATGACAGCTCTGGTGACTTCATCTCCTTTCGCTCTGATGTCAAGCTCTCCACTGTCGACTGCAAAGCACTGCTTTCCTCTTCTTTAACGTGGAGATCTGTGTTTCCAGGACGGTCTTCTGAAATTTCTATTATCTCACAGTCTTTCTCTGAATTTTCTTCTTCATTCTTAACATCAAGATCAGAGGATTGACAGAGGTCGGTATGTTGATTGTTTTTCATAGAAAGATCAATCTCCAGATACTTTGACAAAGCTTCTGTGCACTTTTCCACAATGTGAACCATCTGAAGGTAACTAGCAGCAGTCAAATATTTCAAAAGCTCTTTCCTTTTTACTTCGAGTGCTCCGGTATAGCAAGACAGCAACAATTTCCTGCCAACTTCTGCACTCTGCAAGATGGTGATTCTGACATGTTTCGACTGTGTGAGTAGAAACTGATCTCTCATGAAAGTGGAGCAAGCAGCTAAAATCACCTTGTGCCCCTGGAATTCTGTGTCGTTGATATAAATCGACACATCACAAAATAAATTCTGCTGTCTTAAGAGATTCATTTTCTGCAAGACTACATCTCCTTGCTGTTCAAACTGGAAGTGCAGAACATCAGACTCAGCAGCCATGGTCACAATCTAAGCAAAATAAAACACATACATTGATGTGAGAACAGGAAATGCTACCCTAGACCACTGACAGTAAAAACACGTGAAAAATCCCAAACCTGAGCTAGGTAAAAACCACCTCCAGGTCTAATCTGGATGCTGACAGTGAACCCCTATGCCACGATCTCATAACCCAGAACATTTAAAATGCCTATTTTGCATTTATTGCATTGTACTTGACAGTTTCTGTTTCCTTGGCTAAATGCTATGTTGCCTGCGGTCGAAGGGCAGTGTTCATGCTTAGTCTAAGGAGATTTAACACAGTATCCCAAATTAAAAAACCTTAACGTAATCTCCAGACTTCCTACACCCCATCACTGCTGCAAGTGCTCATTCTGTTCACCTGGACCATAGCCATGTCTTCCAACTCCTTCCTCTTATCTATATTCACAGTCATCCTCCTAAGTAGCACTAGAATGAACACTCTTGTAAAAACTTAAGAATTCTCTCTTCTATTTTAAATCCTCTCTTCTATTGTTCTCTACCTCCAGAACAGCCTAAACTCCTTAGTAATTAGAAGATCATTTGCAATTTGGTCCTAACCACCTTTAAGGCTTTATCTTTGTCCTTTTTTCAATTGATGCTCCTTTAGTACCCCAATTTTCACTTTTGCTCAGACAGAAAAACTTGAATCCACTTTTGCTCGTGTTACATTCGTGTTTCCAGATACTTTTTCCAGGCGGTGGTTTGGATCCTTTAAGGTTCAAATCAAACTAAGACTTTATGACTCCTGTGTGATAAAGTCCCAGTGCACCTCGAAATGGTGCCTGGTTCATCTGAGTTCCTGAACCGAGCATAGGACCTGCCACTGAGCAGGAGTAGCTGAGGTCATCTGTTGAACTGAATTCGGACCCAGGTCACCAGGGAGAAACCCAGCTCGCCACACAGGTCTTTCCGCGTGGAGCCAGTCAATACCAAGACCCAGGCCTTGTTACCAGGCCGTTGCAGCACCGGTCTAGCTACTCCCAGGCCGCGCTTTGCTGCCTCCTCCGGCTCCTCCACCTCCTACTCCCCCACCTGCCCAAGCCTGCAGCGCGCTCACTCACCGACTCAGAAAATCAGAGCCAAGCTTTCCGCAGCAGCGGCGGCCCGGGCCGGAGGAAGGAAATACATCCGGTGTCAACTAGCTTTATTCCTCCCTGGGGCGGGTAGGCGCCCCGGAAGGACATCCGAGCCCCTCTCTTTCCGTCGCTGCCCCCCATCCCAACCCCGACTCGGGCAGCGGGAAAGGGCGCCCGGGCTCCAGCCGCTTGCATCTCGGCTGTGCTCGTTTGGCCCGCGCACGGTTCCCTGTGCCTCGTTTTCCAAGAGCTCGAATCCGACACGCGGTACAGGGGGACTTAACAAGAGTACCCCGAGCCAGGACCCTGGCACGCCGCCAAGGATAACCGCAGGCTGGGCCCTCGCCTTGTGAGGCCGACTGCCTTTTAAAAGCTGGCGATGCAAAGGAGACTGCCAGATGACCTGGCTAACGTTCCATCACAATGTGGGTCTCCCTTCACTCCATCCATCGCTCCCCCATACTCACCCCTACCTCCCCACTCCCAGATTTGCAGGCAAACTCAGGTATTCAATAGAAACTTTTGCCCTGGCTGTTACCTTTGGTAGACTCAACCCTTCCTCTCACTTACCCTTCAAAACACCTTTTATAAATTCATCTCTGAAGACATCCCCAACTACCCCCGGGTCACAGGCTCCCATTTGGTTTATCCCTTCGGTTGCCTTGATTTTTGCACCTACTAAAATTTGGGTCCCTCCTAGGTAGAGGTATTCACAACATACTTATCTTAGTATTCCCCAAAGCCTGGCACTCAGCAGACATGAAGTTCTTATCAAAGGAGGGAAGGTCTGACCCAGTTCTTAAAATCTGCTACTCTACCCCCTCAGACAACAGGTTCTCATGCAAGTAACTGAGCCTGGTAAAAATTTCTGGTTAAGTCATATTTTCTTCTGACTCAGCATACTTGTTAGTATGTGTCATAAAGAATAGGAGTGAAGAAGGTATTCCTGTATTCAAATTTAAGCAATTGAAAAGGAAAACAGGTGAGGAAGAGAAAATACGCCACTGACACCAGAGGTTTAACTGTCACACTTTTATTAAGGAAACTTCCCCATAATAAGTGAAGAGGTAGTTCATAGTATGTCTAACATACAACAGGTTTAGAACAGCTATTCACCAGCTGAAATGAAATGTTCTGGGTTGTTTATTTAGGACAATATTTTAGAAGCAGTGGCACCGGTCACCTCCATTTATGTATCGTCTAATAAACAAAACCACATCTGATTTACTTCAGAGCCACTTCTGACTGGAGTTTGTCTTTAAAATGAAATAAGTAACTGTGACAAAGTAATTTTAACAAAACCAAACTATGGTAAAGAGAGTCCTCTTTCCCTTTTAGTTATTCTGAGGATCCATAAAATACAAATCCTGAATGGCTAAGATTTTTTTAAAAAATCTTCCTCTATAGGAAGATTATACTAGTTTGGACAGTCATCTTCCCTTAAAAAAAATCTGATAACATTAACTTGACCACTTTGCAATACAATCTAACAGGTCAAGTCCCACCAAGAAAATGTGTCACAGAAACAGAACATTTTCCAGTCAAGAAGTGGAGGTGTCTGTAAATCACTTCAGTGGTTTGCAGTTGCAAAGGTGACAACTACATGTATTACTGACACAAAACCATCAAGATGCTGGCTTTAAGTGATCCAAGAAAGCAAGGCAGCTTTACTATTCCCAGTATAAAATCAGGTTGATGCCTTATCTCACTAAGACCACATGAGACTAAGTTTTGTGAGGGCAGGGACCAAGCAAGCTTACCTTTGTGTCCTCAGTATCTAGCATAATGGTGCCTGGCAACAGGAAGTGCTCAATATCTGGTTCTTGAATGCTTGAATGAACCCAGAAATAGTCTCCAACCAAAGAGACCCATCTTATTTGAACTCATGCCTTTTAGTCTTCAAACCAAAAACAAAAACTGGACATGAATGTAAGCAAAGGAAGCACTCAAGCTGGAAATTTGCCTGTGATGTAAGGATGTTACAGAAAGTAGTGAAACATTGGTTGAACATGTTAGTGTCTCACTGTTGCATAGACTTGGTACTCTTTGGCTGGATCATAAAAAGTCAGAATGCTACGAAACATGTAGACCATATAATAAGTGATATTGGGCATCAGACATCTATTAGTCTTATCACTCAATTGTTTTTTGTCATTTTGACTTTTTTAACAAAAGGTAGAAATTTTATCTCAAATCAGAATCACATCTAAATGCATCAAATTATAACAATTTAAGAAATTCTCTCTAAATAAGTTACACCTAATTTTTGGTTTATTTGTACATGCACTCTCATAGCTCAAAAATAAAAACAGAAAATTCTGATAGAGACTAAGTAAACACTATTTCCAGACAAAATCAGTTTCACATTTGGATCGTTTTCACATTATTCTTACTCGTCCTTTCCCTCCCTGACCAACACCCAGCAAATCAGTCATTTGTTTGGGAAGAATTTAATACGCTTTCTAAACCCCTCCCCCCAAATTAAATAATATAAATAAATTCTTCTGTGATACTTTGTAAAATCCAGGCTGTCTCCAAAAAGCCAGCAGCGATTCACAAAGACAAGTCATAAACTGGGAATTTTTTGCTAATGTATTATTCTTGACCAGCTACTAAATTTGTTTGAGCCAAAGGGTGGTGAGAAGTGAGGAGACGTCATATTTAATCGTATCTACTTGGCCAACTGTGGCCAGGCCACCTTTTTGGCCTTTGGATACACCAACGTAAAAGATTTTCCTAAGGACTCTAACATTTCTATTATCTAAACCTAACTCGTGGATCAGAACTAGTAAGATTCAGAACTTTATTTCTGAATTGTAACATGTGCTTTTAGGAAAAACTGTTTTTATGTTTTTCCATACTGGAAGATCAATTTTTATTAGCTATCTATCAAAGGTGGCAAGGTGGCACTGTGTACTTTTATAGGAATATCTGAATGCAACAGTCTGACTGCTCTTTCCAGGATCCATTTTTTCCAACCATTTTGGAAGCTAAGGTACACGAGAAAATGAGAATTCAGAGGCTAGTCAAGTACACTGAACAACACTCTGAGGGCCAAACTCACCTTTCTGATGACAAAACGCTAAAAGTTCAGAGACTCCCAAAGAGCCACCGGACTTTACCATATTTTAAGTGTTTTTGGAGTAATCCTAATGTCAAAAACATTGACAGGTCAGTTACACATTGATTACAGCATTTGGATTCTCTTTGGGAAACCCCTTATGTAAGTACTGTTGTATAATTGGACTTCGATCCTTCGTTGATTTATGCGTCTTGTGGTGACCCTTAACAATGTGTCTGCAGTGCTGATGAAAAGACAGTACTCTTGGTCTATGTGAACAATTCAATGGCATGAGTTTGGGCCCTAAATACTGTTGAAAGAGCACAGAACAACAAAATACTTCTTTACAGCCATCTGTAAGACAAGTACAAATGGTGGGAAGTAGATTCATTCATTGACCAAACATGAATTATCAACTGGCAAGCAGAAGTTCTATCACATATTCAGGTCAATGGCAATACCATCTTATATATCAGCCTATTGTCTGCCAAGGAAAAATATTATTCACTTCTTTTAGCATAGCTAAAAGCATCCAAGTGGAGAAAAGGTAAAGTTATTAACTTGTTGGTAGCTTCAGAATGTGCCCAGTGAAAGCCTAAAATAGTGTCAGTCCCACACATAAGTCAATGTCAGGTAGACAAATGGAATACTCCTTGGGAAAGGAAAACAGACATCAACAGATAAATAACTCAAAACAGAGAATAAGAGAGGGCGAAAGAAGGCCAGACCAGGCACACTGCCCAGTCTATTAGTGCTTTGACTCACCCCTACAACCTGCAGAGGCTTTGGAGTAGTCAAACTAGCAAAATCACTCCTAAAAAGACTCAGACTATTGCCACGTTTTCAGTCAATTCTAGTTGTGAGCATAAAGCCCCTACTCAATTCACACAAGTACTATCATTCCTTAAGTTCAGGACAGCTTGGGCCAGTTTACCTGCATCCAGGACCTGTGTTGCATCAGGCTGTGGCTGACACCCTTTAGAGTCTGTGACTGTTGTACATGCAAAAGAATCAAAATCCACTGTGAGGTCTTGCACATTTCTTTCATTGGCATTATCAAAGCTGTTTTTGCCATGCAGCTGTTTAAGGTGTTTCCTCAAAACTGGCTTATGTGCAAAAACCATGTCACAATAGTTACACTTATGGGGCTTATCTCCACTGTGAAGGTTAAGATGATCCTGTAAGGAACACTTCTGAGAAAAGGTTTTCCCACAGATCTTACACTGGAAAGGTTTAATGCCGGCATGCACACGCATGTGTCGATGAAGGTTGCCTTTCTGAGTAAAAGTCTTGCCGCAGAGTAGACACATAAAGAGTTTGTGCATTTTTAAATGGTTGGCGTAGTTCTCCAGGTGACGAAACACCCTGGTACACTTGGGGCACTGGTGATGCCACTGGAGGCCTTTGTCTACACCTCGAATATTAGGCCCAAAGACATCTTTAGAGGCCATGATGAGGTTATCACTGCCTGTGTAAGAGAGGGCATAATTGTGGAGATGGTTTTGTTCTATTTCACTTACTCTGTTTTCCACAGTTGAATTTATCAGGGAGTGCTGGGGCTCAGATGAATGTAAAGCAGTGGGTTCAGAAGAAATAAACTGGTTCTGATCTTTTTTACTTCTAACCTCTGATACATCCCCAATAGATTCTACCTTAACAATCTGAATATCACTGTCCTCCATATCCATACTGTCTTCAGATGGATGAATACAAGGTGAGTCCTGCTTTGGGGAGCCTCTGGCATCTCCCTGCTGTTCTTTTGACTGGGGAGAAGCACTCTGTGGTTCACATCCCTCTTTACTATCCATTGGTTGTTTTGGCTTTATAAACTTCCACAAGGCCTGTGTGCACCGTTCTACAATGTGGCTCATCTGAAGAAAACTCGCAGCAGTCAAGTAATTTACCAGTTCCATCTCAGGGAATTCCAGCACACCACTATAACAGGATAAGAGCAATTGTCTGCCCACTTCGGAACTCTGTAATATGGAGATTTTCACCTCTCTGGAATCATTCAGTAAAAACTGGTCTCTTAAGAAGGGGGAACCTGCAGCAAACACAATTTTATGTCCCTGGACCTCAATATCATCTATGAGAACTGTAACATCACAAAATTTATTCTCTTCTCTTAATTTGTTCATTTTTTGTAACATTGAATCTCCATAATTTTCAAACTTGAAGTGAAGGAAATCTGATCTTTCAGACATTTTGGCAGACCTAAAGAACAGAAATGTAAAAAGGATGAATTGAAGAAAATTCAAAACAATTAAGAAACCTGGATTTTCCTTCCAAAAAACAAATTTGTGTTGTCATAACTGTGTGTATCCTAATAAAACCTCCTTGAAAGAGGAAACTATTAAAACAGCTTCCAGAGGCTGTTAAAAATCACTCCTTACCAACATCAAGTGTGAACGGCATCTAAGGAGTGGACCTGAATCAGTGTTAATTGGTTGGCATTTATTCAATTATTTAAGATCCTGATACAAGAACAGTGCTTGAGCTACTACAGGAACATTTTCACTTCTTAAAAGAAAATTCTATCAGGTTTCAAAAACAAACTAAAACATATCAAAGAGTAATAATGAAGTAACTTATCTTTTACATGATACTGTGAACCGCTTTTTCTTCTAAGACAACACATGCTTTTCCTTTGCTTTGTATTATGAAGAACAGTGAGTCCGCTTGTCCTGATCCTGGGTAACCCATCTCCTGTTTAAGCTGATGTGAATGTATGCATGCAAGTATTTTTGCAGTAAAACAAAAGCCACAGGCCTAAGGGACAACTTTAAACAGTATTAAAAGCATAGCCAGTTATCCCTTGCATTCTGGACAAGTCCAAATTCTCTATTAAGAACATTTCTTGATAACAGAAAGTAAATAAAACATTTGCTAGAGAAAAACCACATGAGCCACTAGGTAGGGATCTCAGTAGGAATAAAGTGAACCTAATTAATTAATCCCCAAATATGTTCTGTTTTTTATTCCTATTTATCTCTCACTACTCATGATCTGGACTACTAAGTTGATTCATAAACGCTTCCTTGACTTCCACCTTCAATTCCCTCTAATCCACCTTTAACATAAACTTCATAGAACATTTCTAAAACATGGATCTGATTAGACCAAACCTTTGCCTAAAACCCCTCTGTGACTTCCCATTGTCTCCTCCATGAGACTAACCTCCAAAGGATACAATGATTAAGTAATACTTAATAATAAAGCTAAACATCAGCAGAAGTCACTCAACCACAGAGAAGAAGTCTTTGCCAAAAATGTCTGCATATTTTCTCCTTCATCTAGCAATTCCTTTGGAGAAGAAAATCCCCATGCTCTGATTTCATACCCTTCAATGAAGTTCTAAAAACTTGGCTTCCCATGTGTCTCTCTAAAGGGAAGGATAAATCAGCTATGCCAAGTAATAACTCCAGTTCAGCCAGTGATTGTAAAAATATAAAGTTGGCACCCTGTCAGTATAGCAGTCTTCTGTGAGATTAGAAGGTGTAACAGGACTATGCTTAAGAAATAGCTCTGTAATCTCAGTGCACCAGCAGATTCCCCTTGAACTTTGTGGACTCATTAACTCCATAGCTGAGAATAAGACAACCAGTTGCTCCTGGCCACACCTGGATCCCAAGCCCAGTCTTTATAATCTTATCTTCTATCACACTGACTTAAAGAAAGGGTCACAGAACACCAGTCCTGAAGCCAGAATCCAGGTCTACGCATACTGCTCAGTGCTGGCAAGTGACAGCGCCTGCTGACTCCAAGCCTTGAGGCATTGATTTCTTTAGAATACTAGCTGTAAGCCCATTCTGATTCCTTGATTTTCCTGAGAGTCCTTCTTTACTTTTTAAACTGGAACAGTTGTCTCCACTGGACTCATATCACAGTAAATCTAACACAACACTCAAAATACTTAATGAAACCCCATCTCTTCATCAGGGGGAAATGTCTCCATTCTTTGCTTTTGCTTCCAATTCCACTTACTGCAGCATCATTACTGGCCAAACCCTTGGCCACTCAAATTGATGTGTATTCCCCATCCATAATATTCTACAAAACACATGGCAGGTGGTAGTTTGCATTTGTTGAAAAAGAAGGAAGAATAGCTGTCGAGAAGAGCAGCTTGACTGGAGAAGCACTACAGGTCTGAGATTATAAGCGCCTAGAAAGGAATGGAAATGGGGTAAGGAGCAAGGAAAATCAGCGATATTTCAAAGAACCTGGCAACAGGCTGGATACAGAGAATGGGAAAAAAGGGAGGGGGGAGGGAGTGTGCAAAGGTTCTCAACTCCGGAACTCAGCAGAATGAGACCATCATCGAAGGAAAGATGAAATTTGAGAGGAGGATCTGGAATGGCACAGGTATATTAAGAAAAATTGACATGCATAAAATTTTAAGTTTGTGGGCCATTCTGAATATACAGATAATGCACTGTGGAGAGATGTAAGAGAAGCAAATGTAGCATTAAGATCGTGACTATCAAAAAGGAAAAAGCTAGCAGCAAAACTACATCATCACTGGTCTAGTTTTAGTAGTTACAATAGCTTATTATATTCGGTGTCCCAATTTATAAGCAAAGTTATAAAATTCACTTGCTTCCAGTGGCTCAACAAAAGGGGCATTCTTTTCTAGTGTTTAGTTATTCTGAATCTACCCTCACATCAGTATTTTCCTACTCACAACCCTAGATGTGCACTGTTTCCACCTGTAGTGTGCAAGCACTCAGGATGCCACAGATAATTGTTCCTGGAGGCTCCAAAGAAGGGGAACTGAGATCTGGTCTCATTTACTTCCCATCCATCAGTCTCAGGAAACTTACACAGAGCTGCCAAACAGGAACCCTAGAAAAGGGTTTCTTTGGTTTGTTTGCTATAGTCCCAGAATGTGAGGGATGTTTATTATGTCTATTTTAGGAAGTCCCCCCTAATGTGTATGAATTGCTCTATCATCTCCTCTTAAAAGCTCTTCGTTCCAGGCCACATAGTTATCCCTTAATTGTTTCCTGTTCCTAGTTTCTCTTTCTAACAGACTGTTATTTGAGGATAAGGACCAAATGTAGCTTTTTACACTCATTCAACAAAAAATAGAGCAGAATAATTAACTCTTCATGCTCTGTAGGAAACAATTACTGAGTTATTTTAAATACTCCTTTTTTCAGTGTCCTGGGGAACATGTTTTCCCAGAAGTTTATTTATAAACCAGTTTTGACAATATAAGCCCAAACTTTTTTTTTCAGTATTTAAAAATATCAAAATAAAAAGAAACAACTGTTTTTCTTGTAAACTGGATTGATTTTATTTAAAAATAAAAGAAATGACAGCTATTCTTTCCTGAGTCCTGTGTATGTTGCTGGAACATAAATGCTTTATCTAAATTAACAAGCTTGATCTCCAATTTTTTTAAAGATGTATTTATTTATCCATGTTAAGAACTGGGGTTCAGGCCAGAGGTGCAGGGGTGAGAGGATTCACCAGAGACAGAGAGGGGAGCAGAACAGGTGTCTGAAAAACACTACTGAGGGGAGCTGTGGATGAGAAAAGAGAGGTCTGCCAGGTCATGTGGGTCACCACCCTGGCTGGGGGTCAAACTGCAGTGACTGCGGATAGCTTCACAGTGCTGTGATTTAACCCTCTGTACCAGCAGGGAGGCCCCACCTCCAAATTTCTTTTGAGGTGGTATTATTATCATCCCCACTCTGTAAATGAGGAAAATCTCAAGCCTGGAGACTATCAATAACCTGCTCAACTTAACAAAGTGGAAGCTGTTAAGTGTTAAGACCTAGAACTTTTGGCCAACTGCTTGAAGCTTTATCTTGTGGATAATGTTAGCTGTGTGTTGCTGTTCAGCTTTCCCTCCTCACAGCTATTCAGCTGTACACTTGCAATTTATATACAGCTGTATTTTGGTTATGCTCAACAAAAGGTTTATATTTAAAAACAAAATGTACAACTTTTAAAGCCAAATTTGTGTTATTTAGATCAGTCATGTTTCTGATTGCATTTAATTCCCCTTTCTTTGTCTTATCTTCCTTTCTCAGCTATTTAAATGTTACAGTATTTTTCCATGACTTGTGTATTTATTTTTGTAGATGGAAACAATATTATTTGCAAATAAAAGTAAAAATAAGAATTCTAAATATATTTGATTTTGGAAGCCCCAACTGCAGTTAACTTTAGTTAACTAGTTGTGTTCATTCTTTCATAAAAACCACTCAACTAAGGGTCCTCCCTGGTGGCACAGAGTTTATCCACCAGGGAGGGCCCTAGTGGCATAGCAGGTTGGAGCGCTGCACTGAGAAGCCAAGCCAGGTTGTTACGGCTTCAGTGTGAGCCGTATCCCCACCCTGGAGGTGACACACACGGCACAGCAGACCTCTCCTGTACTGCCTGCTGCTCCCCTCAGTAGTCTATTTCAGTGGTTCTGCCTGATCTACTCCCCACTTGGTCTCTGGTGACTCCTGTCCCTGCCCCTACCCCTATGGCCTGTACCCCAGTGCTCTATGCATAAGCAAAATCGTTTAAAAAAACTCAGCTAACTCTAGATTATAGCAGAACTTCTAGTAAAAGCAAGGCCCCATGATTTAGCATAGACTGTTGTTCACCACATGCTGTTGATTCTTCCCTCAGAACCAATTTCAAACTCTAATCTGACCGTTGCTGCCTCCCTCCAGTCCTTATCATCTATTGCCTAGATTACTGCAAGTATGTCTGAATATTGCCAGGTTTTTATTAGCATGTTTTCAGTGACCCAGATCACTTTTTCTGTTTGTATTTATACAATTCTCCCATTATCATTCCTGTACCAAATATTACAACTGTTTGGAAAGTTTCCTTTTATTTAAAGAAGAATGACTAAAAAAGCTGTGAATTTTCTAGGTTGGCCAATATTCATAGCTGTGCTACAACAGTGAGAAAATACCCAAGTTTCTTATCTCAAATGCCTCTAATAGCTACTGACAAGGAAAACTTTTCCATTCCCAATAATGAACTCCTACTGTAAGTTTGTCTGTTTTCTCATCTACCTCATAAAAGGGTCCTATCTTTCAACTAAGCACAGCAACAAGGAAATCTTTCTGCAGCACTCACAAACATTATGTGCCACTTTTCAAAGAGATTGCATTCTACCATAACCTTTCTTTCCATAAGCCTCATTCTTTTCCTTTGAGTAACTTTCATGACATTAGATTCTCCAAGTTCTCATTCTTGTTTTGCTTTTATTTTTACTTGTAGGTAATATATACAGAAATAAACTCTTCCTGGAAAATTGCTGAATATTATAAAGAAGTCCTCTTTCCCAACCACCTAAGTGGCCAAGTTTGTTTTAAATTTTACCCTTGAAGATTCTCACACCCCCTCCTTCTTTCTCTTCCCCCTTTCAAAAATCTATTGCTAAATTCCAAGGCACAGAAAACAAAATTAGGACTCTTATATATAAACTGTACATATTGTTTTGCAACTTTCTTTTTCCATTTATTGCTTTTGAGAGCTATTGGTGTTGCTTAAATACAGACTGAGTTCAGTTTTTTCAAACTGTTGTACAAAAGTGGGCAGATTGCTTAACTATGGGCTTCAGTTTTCCACTATTGTTTTGCTAGTCTGTCCCTTGAAGGTTCACTACATTGTGTAAAGGTTAGTTATATCCCTCAAAGCTAGTCCTTCATTTCTGACTACTTTTCTCAAGGCTTATTTTCTGAAAAGAACATCTGGCTTCTCAATGTCTTATTCCCTTCTTTAAAAAATTCACAAATTTCCGGCCCTCCCTGGTGGCGCAGCGGGTTAAAGCACTGCACTGAGAAGCTAAAGCCATTTCCGCATGAGTTCGATTCCCGCCTGCCCCGGAGGTGACCATATGGCATGGCAGACCTCTCCTGACCCGCCCGCTGCTCCCCTCAGCAGTGTACTTCGTCCATCTGCCTGTTCTGCCCCCCCACTCTGTCTCTGGTGAAGCCTCTCGCCACCCCTGAGCCTCTGGCCTGTACCCCAATTCTGTATGTACAAATAAAATAAATCTTTAAAAAAAAAAATTTCACAAATTTCCAACCTTAACCAAAGGCAGTCTCAATTCAGGCTACTCAAAATTCCTGCTTGGAGGCTACTATTCTATCACTTGAAATGCATGATATGTAATCTTGCACTGTCTTAAACTCAGTAATTGAAAGATAAAAAATTATGGGGAATGGCTTTGAGAACAGTGGACAAGAAAACCATTAGTATATCCTCACGGATTAAGAAAACATTGATGAGGGCCTGAAAAGAAAACAACAATTATATGTATGGGGAGAGGAAACAGATTCCAGAGATATTTCAAACAAAGAATTGATTGACTTAGTGACCAAGGTGAGGAACAAGAAAGGAAAGAGCAAGATAACATCAAGGAATTTAGTTTGAGTGACTGGCTATCTTTTGACAGAGCATCATTCAATAAACTAGAGAATACTGGAAGCATCATGGATCTAGTCTTAAAATATTTTGCTAAATGAGCCCATATGACATCAAGGGGAAAATGCATTCCTCATCTGGACATGGGTCTGAAGCTGAAGAGACCTGATTATAGAAAGTGATACATGAAAACATGACATAAATTGACCTAATTGTGGAAGAAACTGACCTAAAATGGCTCAGATTGGAAAGGGATTTAAGAAAAGAAGGAAAGAAATAAAAAACAAAACACAAACATAATTCCATTACTTACCTTCTTCTCAATCTGGATCTCCTTCCAAGCCTTTCCAATTTTTAATCAATGATCCTATCTTTGCTTAAAATTTTCTCATGACTTTGACTCCCAAGTTCAGTGACTGCCTAGTAAAACCATGGATTCTGGAGTCATGTTTCCTAAGATCAAAATCCAGAGCAAGCACTTACTAGCACTGTGACCTTGGGCAAGTTATTTAAAACATCTGTTTTTCAGATTTTCCATCTGTCATTAGTAATATTATTTCAAAGGGCTGTTATGGGAAATTAAATTTTAAAGTAAGTTAAAATTTTAAATTATTTTTTCCAGAGAGCTAAGAATAGTGCTTGGAGAGTGCTCTGTAGCCGCTGCTGGTAAAGAAAATCTGAGCAGCAGCAGCTCTCTGCCCACCTGTGACTATGCAGGTGTCTCTTTTTTCTTTCTCTTTTTTTTAATAATCCTGTCCTTTTAAAATTTAAAAAACAAACAAACCCCACCAAAACCTGTCAATTTTCTTTGTGAAATTCATCATTTTTGGATTTTCTCACTCTTATTGAACACCAAACCTGTTGAAGTCTCCTTTAGATATGTCAAAGCCATTTTAAGAGGTCACTAACATTCCCTTAATAAAGAAATATATTTTATTCTCATTCTCCAAATTCTTTGCATGAATCATCCCAATGGAATCTCCTCAAAATTTTCTGTAGATTTCTTCGTCTCTGTTGCTGGAACCCTGCACTCCACCTCTGCTTCTGCTTCTACACAACTACTAGCTCAAATTCCTCCTTCTGTTTCACAAGTGAGCCATTCCCCACAAATAAGCCCACCTTTCTCCATACTCTCTTCCTGAAGCCAGCTATTTGCATGGCTTACTTCCACTCTACACTGATGACTCAAATCTCTATTCACAACATTTTAGGCTGAGCTGCAGATTTCCATTTCCAATTCTCTGCTGGACAGTTCCATATGGCTAGCCCCAAAACAAATTTGTAACTTACACTAAGTTTATCGTGTTACAGCTGATAATGGCAGCAACAGCCTAAAACCTAGGAATCAGCTTTGGTACCGCTTTCACTCTCCACACCCATTTACCATGGAGCCTTCACACCAGTCACTCCAGCACACTCGCCTTCTTTCCAGTAACACTGTCATAACTCTATTTCAGGTCTTCACTATTTCTCACCAGGTGGACCCCGTTACTCCAAGAGTACATAGACTTTAAAGTCCAGAATCAGTTTAAGGAGAATCCTTTTCTACAAGCTTACCTCCAAAACTACACGGCTTTCTACAGTGCAAATCTGACCATATCAGTCTCCTCAAAACCCTTCAAAAACTACCCATCTCTTTTGGGATTAAGTCTTCCACTATGTGGAACTCAGGCTTCCTTCCTACACTCAGCTCATCCGATGCACAGGAAACCCACACTTCGTGATCACCTTGTTATGCTCCAGTCATTTCTTCTCAGCACTGCAACTGTTCTTCTGCCTGAAAAGCTCCTCTCCATCTCATTCTCTCAAAAAAGTACAATTCAGAAGTCACTGTCTTTCTTCAGCCTCCCCAGCAACTTCCCCTTGGACAGTTCACACACATGTGGCTGACATATATGTCGCAGAAGCACTTATTTAATTCTATCTGGTTCCCAGGACTCTGAAATCTGGGACGGTATCTTACCAACCCCCAGTGTATGGCCGAACGCAGGCAATATAGAAGGTGTTATGGCTAGTAGCCGATTTAGGGGAACCCCTGTAAAAGGGTAACCTAGGTCCGCATTCCTAGCGATTCTCCCGGGCTGGCACTGAGGCCTTGAAGGACTTCAGCTCTGGCACTTGCTACAAGATGCCAGAGTTGGGGGCCCGAGCCAAGTGTTGGACCCTAAGCTGAGGTCCCAAGAGAAGGTCCCTAAGGCATTTTTAGACACCCCACTCCAAGCGCGGGGAAGCGAAAGGGGCGGGGCGCGCTGTGGGCCGGGCCAAGGGCTCCTTAAGTCCCCTCGGGCCTAGGCCAGCCCCTCGGCCCCCATCCCAGTGCAGGTCCCGGCCAATCCAGGGCCCCAAGGGGGCTCCATCTTGAGGGACCCCGTACCCCAGCCCGGCGCTCGGGCCGCCTCCGCACTTACAGACCCAGGGGAAGGCCGCCTTCAGGATCCGGCACCGCCAGGAGCTCCGGCCCCTCGGGGCTCCGGGAAGGGGGAGGGGCAGGGAACCCGAGCCAAAGGGGGACCCGACGGAACCGGAAGGGCAGCCCTCGCCGGACAAAGACAACTTCCGGGTCCCATGGCCCTTCCTGCCAATCGGAAGACTTGGAAGGAGACAGGGGCGGGGCGACGGGGCTTTCCGCGCGGTGGGCTGGTGCAGACGGGTGCTGGGGCGACGGGCTGCGAGCGGCTCGGCGGGGCAGCCGGCGGTCCCTCGGCTCCTTGGCGTCCGGCCCTCTGGCCCCGCGCGCTACACCCCTTCTCAGGGCAGCGGCTGCTCCGAGCTGAGCCTGCACCGTCCGCTGCCTGCGTGGGTCTGAAGGGCGCCTCTGCACTTAAGCCTTGGTAAGTCCCTCCCGCCTCGGGATGTGGACTCACCGCATTGGGGCCCTAAAGCCGAAGGCGGTTTTCTCCCCTCGCTTTTGGATTTTGGTGTTTCCCAGGGGTCGCTGGCATTCCCGACGCTTCCGCTAGCCGCGACGTGCTGACCATCCACAAATCTTTCGCCATCCCAAACACATCTCCTGAGCTCCTGGGCCAACTGTCCGGGAGACTTGTCCAGGGCTGGTCCCGAGGTTGAATGTACCTGTTAATTACCCCATGCTCATCTGCAGATCTGCTTCTCTTTAATTCCCATAGTCCTTGTGTCGGTGAACAGCACCGTCCACACAGTTCTGCCCAGACGAAACCTTGACTATCATTCTAGAGTCCTTCTCACCCATCCAGTTGCTGCTGTGGTCTCCCTGTTTCTTCTTGAAGGGAGAGTTTGGGGGTGTGGGGTTGGGAGGTTCTTGCTAACGCAAAAAAAGTTTTTCTCATGTTAATTATATGTAAATATGAAGTCTGTGGGCGTTAAGTACCTTCAAAATAGGTAACCGTCACTGTTATATACCTCACTTCATTCTTGGCATGTTTGTACGGTTTTTCCAGCACGATTTGTTGAATATTACTGATTTCCCTATTCAGCGGTCTTGGCACCTTTGTTGAACTGACCGTGACTATAAGGGGTTATTTCTGGGCACTCTATTCCTTTACGATGTGTTAAATGCCTATCCTTATATGGTACCATGCTCTTTCTGTATCTTTGTAGTACGTTTTGAAATCAAGAAGTCTTGAGTTCGCCAACATTAGTCTTTATCAATTTTTTTTTGGGGGTGGCTGTTTGGTGGTCCTTGAAATTACATGGGAATTTGAAGATCACCTTTAAACGTTTGAGGGGGAAAAAAAGCTGTTAATTATGGTAGAGATTGTAGTGCTTGTGTAGATCACTTTGGATGATAATGACAACTTTAGATCACTCTGTGAATGTGAAGTGTTTCCATGTTCTTATGTCTTCATAAATTTCTTTCAGCTATGTTTTCTAGTTTTCTAATTTAATTTTCTTTGATCCTGTCGTAAGTGGAATTATAGTATTAATTTCCTTTTCAAGTGTTATTTATGTTATTTACTTGTGTAAGAAACAAAACTGATTTGTGTGTGTTGGTCCTGTATCCAGCTACTTTGCTGACTATTTGCTGTAGTAAATTTCTTGTAGAGGCTGAGATTTTCTATGCATAAGCGTGATGTCTGTGAATAGAGAGTTTTACCTCTTCTTTCCACTTTGGATGCCTTTGTTCCTTTTTCTTGTCTAATAGCATTAGCTAGAACTGTAGTACAGAGTTAAACAGCAACAGTGGACATAGGCATTCTTGACTTGCTGGTAATCTTAGAGACATAACTCCAAGTATTGAGGATCATATTAACTTTGGGTTTTTCAATAACACCTTTATTATTTTCATGAAAATTATTCTGTCAAATGCCTTTTTTTTTTTTGCATCATTTGAGGTGCTCATTTTCACCCCTTATTTTATTAAGGTGATATATTACATTGATTGATTTTATGTTAAGCTACACTTGCATACCTGGGATAAGTCCCATTTAATCATGGTGATTAACTATTTTAATGTTTTTATTTTTAAAATATGCTTTTAGATTTGATCTGCATATATGTTGTTGAGGGTTTTATATCTATATTAATAAATAATAGGCTATCGTTCTCTTTTCTTGGGTTCATCTGACTCATATAGGATAATGAAGACTTCACAGAATGAATTTGGAAGCATTCCCTCTTCAATTTTTTGGAAGAATTTGAGAAAATATTAGTGTTAATTATGGAGTGTTTGGTTAGTAAAGCCATCTGGTGCAGGACTTCTTGATGTTGGACTATTAGTTACTCACTCAGTCTATTTATTATAAATTGTTTAGATTGTCTATTAAATCAGTTTAGGTAATCTGTGAGTGTCAAACAATTTGCTTTAAGTTCTAATTATTGGCATATAATTGGTCATAGTTTTCCTTTATAATTCCTTTTATCTCTGGACTAGAAGAAGTAATATCTTCTCATTTTAGTTATTTGCACATTCTCTATTATTGTTAGTCTAGCTATAGGTTTCTTGATATTGTTGATCTTTTCAAAGAAATGCCTTTTGGTTTCATTGACTGTTCCCCACTCTGTTTCTATTCTCTGTTTTGTTTGTCTGCACTCTAGTCAGTACTGTTTCCTTCCTTCTGCTAGCTTTGGGTTTGTTGCACTTCTTTTTTTAATTTTTAAGGCATAAAGCTAAAATTGCTTTGAGATGTTTCTTTTTTTATTGTCGCCATTTACAACTGTAAGTTTACTTCTGATCATTGCTTTTGCTTCATACTGTATGTTTTGGTATGTTATTTTCGTAGATTTTTGAGTATATTCTAGTTTCCTTTTTGATTTCTTCTTTGACTGATCGGTTGTTTAATAAGAGCATGTTGCCTAATTTCCCTACATTTGTGATTTTTTTTCAATTTTCCTTCTGTTACTAATTCTAACTGCATCACATTGTGGTTGAAGATAATATCTTTTTTTTTTTCAATCTATTGAGACTAGTTTTGAGACCTAGTATGTGGCCTGTCCTGGAGAATGTCCCATATGAACTTGAATGTTTATTCTTTTGTTATTGGGTGGAATGTTTTTTGTATGTCTCTTAGGTCTAATTGTTTTATTGTGATGCTCAAGTCCTCTAAGTATTTATCTGGTTGCCCGTGTTCACTGTTGAAAGTGGGGTACTGAAGTCTGCCTATCATTTACAGGTTTCCCTCTATCCAAAAGTAGAGCATTCCTATAAAACCATTTGTGGAATGAAATGGCATTCATGAAAAAGCACTTATTTATAAGCAAAATTATCACTCATTTATAAGCAAAAAGTTTAATGTACTAGACCCAAAAACAATAAACCAGATCATGCTAAGTAGCACATAAAATCTAAAATAATACTGTTGAAGCAGGAATGACATGATAAACACAACATGATAAACCTTTCCTTATTAGGGAAGAAGTTGGCTAGTACTCAAGTGCTTGAGTACTTGGTACACAGGCTGTGTGCTGCCACTATAAAGGTTTTCTGCACAGGCTCCCTGCAGAATACTATTAGCAACTAAAACAAAAGTAAAAATCTTCAGGTTTCTTTCAGTTAATGAAGACATACTAATGCAGGTCTTTCATAAAAGCAAAGTGGCATAATGTGAACTTTTGAGAAGCATCATATACCTACTTGTATCCCGCTCTTTGTTCTGTCCAAGATGCATGTGTTTTGAAGATGTTACTAAATGTGCAAGTATTTATAATTTTTATGTTGTCTTTATTGAACCTACTATGTGATGTCATTTTCAATTTTTAATTTTTTTAAAATCTATTTTGTATGATTGTATTGTATAACCTCTTTTCTTTTGGTTGCTATTTTACATGAAATCTCTTTTTATCATTTTGTCTTTGAATGTAAAGTGAGTTTCTTCTAGACTACATGCAATTGGATAGTTTTTTAAAATTCATTCTACCCATCTCTGTCTTTTGATTGGAGAGTTCACACAATTCACTTAATTTTAAAGTAATTACTGATAAGGAAGGACCTATTTCTGCCATTTTACTATTTGTTTTCTGTAGGCCTTACAGTTTTTGTGTCATTTATTTCCTGTTAACTGCTTTTTTCTGTATTTACTTGATTTTTGTTTTTTAGTAGCTAACCATTGCAATTCACCTATTTCCTTCTGATATAACTTGCCTATGCAGGTGTGATCCCTTTCTGTTATTAATATTATAGACTTAATCCTTATTCACTGTGTGCACAATACTAGGGGTTAATATTTTATCAACCCAAACTTGTTTTTTCAATTACGTAGATAATAACAAGTAATGTTACAAACTATACTTGTAGTAAAACTTGTTTTTATAATTGCCGAGGTATTTATCTTTACCAAGGATCATTATTTCTTCATGTAGCTTGATAGTAATTTCAAGCATCCTTTCATTTCAACCTGAAGGATTTCATTTAGCATTTCATAAAGGGCAGATTTAATGATAATAAACTTCCTTAACTTCTTTAAATCAAGAAACATCTTACTTTCTTGTGTTTAAAGGACAGTTTTGCCAGATATAAAATTCTCTGTTAACAGTTTTTCTTTTGTTCCACACTTTGCATCTTATGGGTGGGTCTACTGTCCTCTGGCCTCTGAGATTTGAGATGAGATATTAGCTGGTGATTGATATTGGCTGGTAATCATATTTCTGCTTTCAAGGTTGTTTATCTTCAGTTTAATTATTATTCTTTCTCTTCTGTCTTGTCCTTCTGGGATTCCCACAGTGGTATGCCTTTCTTTTGATAAGACATCACATCTCTTAGGCTCTGCTCATTATTCACATTTCTTTTGTTTGTTTTGCTGTTTCTCAGATGGAGTAGGAAGCACAGGAATCCACTTCTCAAACAATTATTCTAGCAGTATCTGCCTGAAATAACTGTGTCAGAAATCTGGAATCTTATTTGGATACTTGCATCTTCCAGGGGAAAGCTCGTTGGTAAATTGAGTTTAATCAACGTCAACCTCTAGTGATAGTAACACTTTCCCCTCTCCTACCTTTTAACCTTGTGGCAGGCAGCCATTTTCACATTCCTGGTAGTGTTTGTTGGAGCCAGAGTGGAAAATAACCTTCTTCTCTAAATGCCAGGATTCTTGTTCTGATGGCAGCTTTTGACACTTGATCTAAGCCAAAAGGCGAAGTGATTCTGATGGCAGCTTTTGAATTCTGAGTTGCAGGCAGAAGAGACTAGCTGCCATTGTTTCACCCTCTTCAGCTGCACTGATTTCCAGGGCATTTAAAAGAACAGCACCTGTTTTGTTTGTTTGGTTGGTTATTTTCCCAACCAAACATTTAAGGGTTAGTATATTCAAAATCAACCATTTATATGGGGAAAATTAGAAAGCCATCACTTAGCCAGAGAAAGATACAGGTTCACAAAATTCCTGGAAAGACAAAGTTTTCACCTCCAGCACAGAGACAC